ATGATTGAAATTTTGAATGAGCAGAGAAAAACACACTCACACGCACAAACAAACATTCAAACACATACAAAACATACATACACACACACATACATACACATACAATCAAAATACACAAAAATACATAACAATGCTAACATCAACAACAACAACAGAGTAACAACATCATCCTCAACACCATCCTCAGCATCATCCTCAACAACAACAACAACAACACAACAACAACAACACAGTAACAACATCAACAACAACAACAACGCAACAACAACACAGTAACATCATCATCAACAACAACAACACAACAACAACAACAATTTTTGCAAGCAAGCAAACAGACGGAAACAATAAAACATCCACAAACACACATATAAAGCATTTCACGCGTCAGCAGGCATATTTGTTTGCCTACGTCCGCATCTTTGTCACACGCACAAACGCATACATACACGCACACATACATACACACATACCCACACATACATGTGCGCGCACACACACGTATGTATACATACAAAACAATGACAATAACGTAATTAACTAACAATAACAATCACAACAAATACAATACAACACATACACATACATGTGTTGTTGTTGTTGTTGTTTAACAAATACAATTACATACATACATTCATACGCACATACATACGTACATACGTACATACATATGTACAAACATATACAAACATATATATTCATATATATACATTCATATATACATACGCAAATAAAATCTTTATACCTATGACCTGAGCAGACAAAACATGTACGGAAAATTTGTATGTACGTGCAATGTATGTATATGTGTATGTGTTTCTATATGCGTATGTGTGTGTATGTATGTATGTGTTTATTTGTATGTGTGTGTAACTAACACGCTCATGCTATCAGCTAACATGTTTATTGAGTGTTTAATTGTTTAAATGGAGATTATTGTTATTATTTGTGTATGCGTATATGTGAGCATGGCTGCCGTATTATTTCCTCTTCTTTTTCTTCTTCCTCTTCTTTTTCTTCTTCTTCTTCTTTTTCTTCTTCTTTTCTTCTTCTTCTTCTTCTTCTTCTTCTTTTTCTTCTTCTTTTCTTTTTCTTCTTCTTCTTCTTCTTCTTTTTCTTCTTCTTTTCTTCTTCTTCTTCTTTTTCTTCTTCTTTTCTTTTTCTTCTTCTTCTTCTTTTTCTTCTTCTTCTTCTTCTTTTTCTTCTTCTTTTCTTCTTTTTCTTCTTCTTCTTCTTTTTCTTCTTCTTTTTCTTCTTCTTTTCTTCTTCTTCTTCTTTTTCTTCTTCTTCTTCTTCTCCTTCTTCTTCTTCTTCTTCTTCTTCTCATTATTATTATTATTATCATTATCATTATTATTATTATCATTATTTTAATAGTAATAATAATAATTATTATTATTATTACTATTATTATAATTATTATTAATCAATATTTGAACACACAAGCAGGCGAGTTGGGAAACGATATTTTTAAAAAATAATCAATCAGAAAAAAAGAAAGAGATAGATCGAGAGGAGGGAAGGAGAAAAAATATAGTGAAAGAAAGAGGAAAACAGAAAGAGAGAGTGAGAGAAAGAGTGAGAGACAAGAGAGAGAGAGAGAGAGAGAGAGAGAGAGAGAGAGAGAGAGAGAGAGGAAGAGAAAAGAGAGAGAAAGCAGAAAAGACAACGGATAAAAAGTCTAGAAAATGATGAGTGAGATAGTGATGTAGAAAGAGAGCGTGGTCAAATAAAATAATCTAAGGCTAATCCGTGGATTAGACAAAATATTCCTACAGGTCTGTGTTGCGCAATTTGTTTCTGTATGTCTGTATGTTTGTATGTATGTCTGAATGTTTGTATATTTGTATGTATGTCTGAATTTTTGTATATTTGTATGTATGTATGTCTGAATGTTTGTATGTTCGTATGTTGTACGTAAGTATATATGTTTGTATGTATGTTTATATTTTTGTATGTATATCTGAATGTTTGTATATTCGTATGTTGTACGTATGTCTATAAGTTTGTATGTTTGTATTTTGTATGCATGTCTGCATGTTTGTGTGTATGTATGTGTATGATTTCATGCTCTATTAAGTTTGGGGCAATCTATTAATATCAGTTTAAAAAGTTGTTTGCATATAGAGGAAACCAATCAATGATCACATCAAAGAAAACTTGATTATACAAAATATTTGCTTTGATACGTACATTTTCACACACTTAAAAACACATACATACAATTACACACAATCACACACACACACACTAACACACAATCGTACAACAACAAAAACACACATACAACACGCACTGTTGATCAAAGTTCGCTTTTAAACGGAAGTAATGAGTTGACGTCTGTCGATGGCCGCCATTAAATTCCGCCATTTTCAGTCACGTGACGCTCATTTTCTATGTTTTGTTTGTTTTGTGTTTGTTTTTTTTCTCATTTTTTTATATTTTTTTGGAAAACAATTATAAAACCTTATAAAAACTTTTAAAATCACAATCACATATGGCAAAAAAATGGTGTATACATACAATAAAAAAACAAAAATACCAAAAATCTGCATGCAGAACCATGCAAAAGCAGATAAATATGTATGTATGTGTGTGTGTGTGAGTGTGTCTGTGTATGTATGTATGTAAATATGTATGTGTGTGTGTATGTTTGTATGTATGCATTTTTGTCTGTATGCGCGCACGTGAAGAAGCAAAGAATGGACCCCCACATGAGAGTTATCACGGAGTCATCTTAATGGAGGAAAGATTTTTCGGTTGTGGGACTTGATGTTATGTGTGCCATTTGTTTGTTTGTTTGTTCGTTCGTTCGTTCGTTCGCTCGTTTGTTCGTTCGTATATTCACTCGTTTGTTTTTTTGTTTGTTCGTTCGTTTGTTTGTTTTTATGTATGTATAATGGTATTTGTATGTATGTTTGTTTGTACCTGCATACATACATACATACACACATAGACAGATCTATCTTATACATACGCACACAAACAAACAAACATCTTTTATACATCCATTCACACATACACACACATACATGCACACGCGCATACCATACAAGAACATACAAC